CTCGCTGCGTATTGGATTTTCGCTTTTGATGGTCTCTGCGACACAATCGGAATCCGGGTATATATCTCAGGAAAGCGGATTTTCGAAACGTGTATTACAGCCGGGTCACGTGTGTCGAGAGTCCTTTAGCCGGACCAGACATCTGATCGACATTAACGAAACAACGCGATGCGCATGGGTCGCTCTCGCTTGTTCTCGTTCGCGCGCGCGCGCGCCCGTACGTTATCGATTACTCGCAGAGGGGTTATCACCCTTGTCGGGTGCTCTTGCTTGCACAGGCCGGTGCACACGCCTGTGCGATCGCGCGCGTTAGCGTGCCCGTGAAATTACAATGGCCGACAGCCCGTGCCTACAACCGTACGATGATGTACGCGGCTACTCCTTCGAATGATGCCGAATTAAATGAAGCGGCAAACCCATTTGATTATTTCATCTCGGCGAATCTTCCACACCGACATCGATCGTTTGCGTGATTTCGATACGCCTCAGTTTATAGGTGCGATATAGATCCTTCTCTATGACTCTCGAGATTAAATCCGCGCGAACAGATACCGCGTCGTATAATCTCGTTTTATTACGATTTTGATATCCTCTTGCGTACGTAATAAATGGCAAAAGTTCGAACTTTATAACTCGCGCACTTTCTTTTGTTACCCGCGCGATGATGATAATGCGATCAAACAGATTGACGAGCACGAAAATACATGCAAGCGACCCTGCTTTATTCGTTGTTTTATATTATCGTCTATTTTAACGAGAGAAAGTTTCACGATGCGACTTATGTCAATTTATGACTCGTGTGAACGCTATCTGTCGCGTGTCTCCGTCATTTGAACAGAGTTAATAACTATCGACATAATTATAAAAATGATATTAAACGCGTCGTTAAGTTATCTTTTGTTACAATCGGTATGTTTAATTTGTTATGAGAATCTATAACACTCGATGCAGGACAGCGTGTGTAACTGGACACTTTGTTTTGCAGATCCACCAAGTCACGTACGCGCGTCAACGATGTTAAATTAAACGATAAACAATGATGCTCGTCGAAAAATTTATTTTACATTTGACTATAAATATGACTCCCACAATTTATACGAGCGTTTTCAAAATCGTATATCGCGAATGTTGTGTCATAATAATTTTATTCGAGGACTGTTATTTCGGCGTTAATAATTATTTATTTCATAATTATTTTATTTATTACGTGAGCATGTGTTATTTCATGAATATCGAAGAGATTTTTTTTATTATTGATAGCTTTAATTTTTTATTTGTTATGGAATGTGTATTACTGTTGCAGATTTAAAAAACTGCAATTACAAGTAAATGATACGTTAATAACAATATGTAATGTATACAATATTTTTATTGTTTGCAAGAATTTTTGCAGGATGTGTGCTGTACATTTCGGATATTTGAAACATTTATTATAAAACCGCATGAGATATATTGTGACTTATTATAATTGAAAATAGCAATTGCTATTCGCGTATGTTCTTATAAATAATTAAGTAAATTATACTACTATGAAATTTTAATGAGTAAAACTATTTTGCGGCAAATATAAGATACATCAGTATACGTCATGCATTATTGCGAATTTAATTCCATGCGATGTTTACCAACATATTGCGTATTATATTACATATCACTTATTTATTCACCCGCTTTATATACAGTTCGATATTTCGGACGAATAAGTATAAATATTTTAATTGTGTTACACGTTCTGCAATGCTTCGTGAAATTATCCAATATTAATATTGTATTTTGCATTGACGAAATTTGTTAAAGTATGTAAAAATATTGGCACGCGAAATATCTCATTTTCATCAATATGCTTGTCGAATATCTCGTCGTTCTGCTATAATGCATGACATAAAATCGAGCGGTGTCGAAATTAAGCAAATATTTGTAGTTCAATGTAGATTCGCAATAAATTTAAAATGGCTCGATTAACCTGGAGATAGATGTTATCGACAAGTGTATCGATATTTATTTATTTTATTTGAGAAATGTCAATTAAGCGACTATAGGAAAAATAAATACAGCTATTCGGATACATCCATTTGAAAAATTTGGTGATATTTCTGATAAATTACATTCATTAAAATTGTACATTTTATGATATGCGTATGAAATAAGTCATGAGATTTCAGTTTAAAATGTTTTTTAAGCATTTTTTTTATTTTTTTCTATGTTTTTTTATAACGGTATTTTGTTGCATATGTGATATATTGATGCAAAATCGCGGAATAATTATGAGCTAACGGTATGTATTATATCTATAAAATTTCGAACGAATTTGATTAATGAAATTATTATCTAGAACCAAATTGTGAAATAGGCCAAGTATTATTCGCTCTAAATCTATAAGTAAAATTATATTTCCTCAAAAACTGCGTTATTATTGCCTAAAACTATCGAAAAATAATTAATGTATAAACTATGTGAATCCTTCTTTCCAACGATATTGCGCCCAAGGGTAAGTTATGTTTACGAATTGCTTGGGCGTTTGTCCCATTTATGCAAACGACGGCACACTGGTTTTTTTATTTTTCTTCTCGTGGCGTGCACAGGTATGCTAGGAATGCATCTGCATAAATGAGGCTAGACGATATACGTGCGCGTAGACTCGTTGTGAACGTGCTTTAATGGTGCGACCCCGACACGTCCGCGAGTTTATCTCGGCCTTATACCTGCTGCTTCATGGGATTCCCGTACATGCTTTTCATCCTTCCAGTTACATCGTAAACCCTCCGTTCGCTCGCGACCCCTCTCTGCCTTTACGCTTCTCTCGGACAACATTCTCATCACGGTTTGTTCAGCCTAGATCCCTTCCGCGAGGGCGAGTAGACGCGCGTATGATA